AATAGCCCGTGTAGGCCGAGGGCCCGTCCACGGCGGCTTCGCTGGCGTGCCTGTCTCTGTCAGCAGAGTGACACCGAGCTCTGCTCTGAGTAGTTCCCGTTTCATACATTTTCCCGAACATGTGTTGGTGGAATCTCTCTGCTCTAACGTGGACCTTTAATAAGTGCTCTTTGATTATTTTCAGAATATTGAGTATACTGGTTTCCCAGCCAAATTAAATTTATGAAAATTCTAATGACACTTTGATTCATATCGAGGAAGAAATTTTTTTTTGATTCTAAAATCACATTAAATACATTTTACATGAATCTCTGATAATAGTGAATCAATTAATGTGATTCCCAGGTCATAAATCCGACTTGAGGGACTGCAGTATTTGTTCTCAGAACTCGAGCTGTTGTGTGGCTGTGCGCTGCGTGTCTGCTTTTGAACTCGGCTCTGGGTGCTGAACTCGATGCGAGAGCCCCAGTGGGCTGGGATGAGAGCGGGGCCGCTGCCGCCGCCTCCCCCTGCCCGCCTCCCCTGCCTGCCTCCCCCTGCTCTACCCTCCTCCCTCTGGGTGAGCCTGTGACGTGGCCCCCGAGCTCACTGCTTCGGGGCTCAGGGAAGGGACGAAATCTGGCCATCCAGGCTGTCTTGTGCGTGTCTTCGCGTCCTGTTCCCCAGACTCTTCCATGGCCCCATGCTCCTGGGGTCTCTAGCAGCCGCCAGAAGCTTCCCCTGGCTCTTGGTGGGCCTAGAGCCCCCCGTTCTTCAGCCTTTCCCCACCACAGCCCCTCGCTACCGGGCCTCCTTCCTCCCCAGCCGCCTCCTTCCGGTGGGCCCCTGGTCCTTTGCTGGTGCCTCATTTTCTCGATTTCTACTTGGGGACATACTGGGCGCCCACTGGGTGAGACTTGCTGGTCTCCATGGCAGGAGGAGGGTGGGCGTGTCCGTGGGGACTCCTGCTCCAGCGGGGCCTCCCCTAGACTTTGGGGACTGTCACTTGCCTCGAACTCTTACGTTCTTGCTTCCGTCCTGGGTACGAGGCCTGCCCGGAGCTGCCCGGGTGCCTCTTCCTTGAAGTCCGTTAGAAAAAGGCTCATGGGAGAGCCCCGTGTCTGGGTGGTTTGGGTGCCAGGCGGCCTCAGGAGGGAAGGGCAGTTGCAGGTTCCTTCGGGCTGTTCTGACAGGGCTGAGGCTTCAGTCACTGATGGCTCGTGGTGGCCTGTTTGCACGCAGCGCATGCCTCTTCCTGGCGCGTGGCCAGAGGCCTTTCCCAGCCCCTTGCACAGTGCCCGCTGGGGCTGGAGGCTGTCGGTGACTGGGCGGACACCTTCGTCGGCACGATGGTCTGCTCTGGGGGTCAGTTCCCCCGGCACATGGGCTGCCGGGGCGTCCGTGAAGCGCTAAGCCGTGGGGCTCCGCCGCCTTCCGTTGTCTCCCTGTCCTGGCATGGGAGGTGATGACCAGTGAATTGAGGATCCAGGGGTCCAGCGTGTGGCCGCTCTGACGGCCCCTGTTTGCGTTCCGTGAGTTTCTCTCCGACAGGTTCAAAGGGACTCTGGAGGCGTCAGCACTCTCCGTCCTGATTCCCAAGAACTGTTGATGGTTCTTCTCTCTTCGCCCTGTGTCTCACCTGGCCAGGTGCTTGGGGACACACACCGAGCAGAGCCTCACCCCGGCCTGGAGCCCCACCTGCTCCCCTGCCCTCGTGGTCTCCCCAGTCCCGGATCACCCGTTCACATGTGCACCACACGAGATGTCGCCCTCCCGCCTGCGCCCGCTCTCCCGACCTCTTCCTGCCCTTCCCGAAGGGGCGATGAGTCCGGGGGTGTCTGTGCTGGCAGACCAGAGTGCCTGCTGTTCTCGGAGGAGTCTGCGTTACTGGGCAGCCGAGGACCGGAAAGGTCTTTGCTGAGATGGGATTCTTGATTGTTCGCTTCCCTCGCTCCGAGCCCCAGCATGGGTATCCGCTGGGACGTGGCACCTCGGAGGCCTGAGGCTGGCCTGGGACTCAGGACCCACCTCGCCACAAGGGCCTCAGGTGCCCTGCACATGCACACATGCACACGCGCACACACGCGCACACTCACGAGCGTGCTGACATTGGTGCTCTCTGGAGACACCAGCTGTGCAGAGCTGTCCTGGCCTATGGCTGTTTATCTCAGGGGTGCCATAGTGGGGTTACCTGGGAACCTTTGGGAGATGCGGACATTTCGCCCCAGTGGGATTGTGCCTGCTAGGCTCCCTGTCGCCCAGGAAATGCAACGTTCCCTCGCAGACACCCGTTTGGTGCTGCCCGGCTCACCGGACCAATGTGCGATGCCTCTGGCATCTTCTGGAGCCAAGTCTCACTGCAGCGTCCAGCGCGTGTCCTTCCCGAGCGTGCCCTGACTGCTCCCTCTGACCCAGGGAGACTTTCATCTTGTCTGTCTCCTCGTGGCTGTGAGACGGGATGATGCCTGGTTCATTAACTGATGAGTGAAGCCAGAAAGACCCCGATGCCTGGGTTCCATCCAGCATGCCCCACTGGCTGTGAGCTGTGTCCCTGGGAGTGCTGTGCTGCTGAGCCAGCCCCTCTCACCCTTCCTGGGCCACCCTGGGCTCCCGATGCCTTGAGAAGTGGCACTTTCTCCTCCTGCACCCGCCCCGATGCACCCCCTTCCCCACACGCGCCCTTCCTCCCATGCCCATGGCCAGGTGGGGCGTCTCTTCTGCTCCAAGGAGCTCTGGGCCCGATTCCCTGCCCCGGGGGGTCTGCGCCAAGGTGGGTAGTGCAGTTCCCTGCCGAGTAGGCAGCTGGAGCCCGGGGCAGGCTGTGCTAGGGCTGTGTTGCCTGCTCCTGCCCCGACCCTGTCTTGGTGGCGGCCTTGGCCAGGAGAGCCTGCTGGGGGCGGGACGTCCCTGTGCCAGGCCTGTTGGTTGGGGGGCTTGGTGCTCTGGGTTAAAGGGCACTTGAGATCGCGCCCAGTTTGCACGAATTTCTTTCCCTGTGAAACGGAAGCTCCTGAGGTCCGGGCAGTGAGAAGCCATTGAGGTTCCTGATGGTTTTGTCGCACGGGTGCAGGAGTTTTCCATGCCTTTGGATGATTTCACCCCCCATTTGGGGTGGTTAATGTCAGAGCCAGTGTTAACGGTCCTCTGGGAGGAAGTCGTCAGGAGTGTGGTCAGGGCTGGGGGTGTTGCTGGGCTGCGGGGCACTTCCGCACTGGGAAGGCCCTGGGGCCCCTCTACACAGACACAGGACAAGCTTCAGGTGCTCTGGCTGCCCCTCGCTGCCTGGGGTGGTTACTGCTGTCAGTGGAAATGTGGAAAGAGGATGCCCTGGGTGGCCGGAGGACGCCCAGCCATAGGACAGTGGGATGGGTCCTTGCGTTGCACATGGCTGTCCCCAGTGTGAGCTCAGCATCAGTCCCCCATAAGTCCCCAGCTCAGCCGGGAGTGACCCCTGAGCGTAGAGCTGGCAGTAACTCCCAAGCACTGCAGGGGCCCCTTCGCAAACAACAACCAAACAAGAAAAGGTCGTGGGGGACCGTGTCTAGCAGCCCAGACTCTCCTCATGGTGCCAGGATCCAGCCCAGTGTCCCTGTGTACGGGGTCCAGCCCAGACTGCCCTATGCCGCCGGGGTCCAGCCCGGGACTCCACTCCACGAGGTGTGGCTTTTCACACCATGGAGTTTGGCGTTCTGGTCACCAGCCCTGTGGGGGTGAGGGGTGAGACCACCCAAAGGCACACACTGGGTGCGACTTCCCTGCCTCCGTAGGAACCGGGGGGCACTTCTGAGGCGGGTCTTTGGTTCAGGGCGCATCCGTGGGCTGACACAGACCCAGGGACTGCAGGAGCCTGGACCCAGGAGTGTTCGAGAAGTGTCACTCGGGCTGGTGGCTGTACTGAGTCTCGCGGTGGGGGGGAGACATTTGGGGTCAGTGGGGAGCGGGCACGCGGGGTGACACAGGACCCTGCCGTCGGCGAGCGAGGTCCCAGCCTCTCGGCGTGGTTTGTTCTTTAGGACCGCACAGTGTCGTGCTGGGAGCCCTGTTCACCTCAGCCGCTATGGGTGCCAGCGGGCACGGCTTGAGAGGGACGGGCGCTGCCCTTCCTGTGTTAAATATGAAACGTGGAGGGTGGCTGTCACCGGCTCTGGTTTCTCTGAGGTGTGGTCCATAGTGCAGGATGTTCGCTGCAGCCTGGTGGGGGTGTTAGGGTGGAATAATCCATCCGCGAGACCCAGAGGAGGAAGCCTTTCCCTCTCTCCTGAGTTGCCACCGCAAAGGTTTTTGGTGCGAAAACTGCCCGCCTGTCCTTCCTGCCGCGGACACTCACTCTGAACGAGCCGGGGGTTGGGCGTTCTCCGGGGACACGGTCACTCACGTTGGCGGGCGCCCGAACTACGCAGTGACATTGGCATTGGTTCTTCTTGGGACCAGATTCCAATCAGCACAGCGCACGTGCCTGTGCTAAGTGTGCGGGTAATGCTGCTGACCAGCATGTGCCTCTTTGCCACAAGCAGCACGCGTGTGTTCTAAATTTGGAACACTTTCTAAGCCGACGTCCAAACTGCAGCACCTTAAAGGGCTCCCCTTGCCTCTGAGTGTGTGAGAGTAAGTTGCTGAGAGGCTTCATCAAATCCTCGATTAGCATGCATTTCTCATAAATAAGACTCTTCTCCCCCTTAGCCACAAAAACCAGGCAAATGAATGCCCGAGACGAGATTGCCTACATGGAACCCTTGGGTGCCGTTCCCGGGGGGCCGGTTGCCGGGGCCCCTCTGCGGGCAGGGTCCCCGCTGCTCCATCTCCCCGGCTTCCCGTGGCAGAGCGGCCCGCGGCCTGCTGGGCGTCTGTGGCTTTGACACTCGGCGTCTCAGGCCGGCCTTCTGGGGAAGGCGCCTCGTCTCGGACTGGTGTGATGTGCCTCACCATTAGATTCAGGTTTTGCATCTTTGGCAGGAATATCACAGAAGAGCCAGTGTTTCTCTTTAAAGATTAGTTTTACATTTTATTTTCTGTTTCCTTAGAGCGTTTCCCAAAGTGTATTCTGCGGAACTAGCACCTACTGTGTTCTCAACACCGTGCCGCCTCTAGAAGGTAGGACTCGCGAGCTCTCGCCGTGCGCAGGGGTGGGCTTGGCGCCGAGGGCCCCCACCACTGCTGTGTGGTCTTAGATGAGTCACTGAACCCTTGGGGGAGCAGAATTACCCCCCCTCCCCCCCACCCCCCAGAGAGCTGCAGCGAGGACTGGAACCGACGTGGGTCTGACCCCAGGACGTCAGCCCTCTCTGCCTGCGGGGGCCGCTGTGGGATACCGGGGCCATCCATGGGCCGAGGCATCGGTGCCATCGGAGCCACTTCCTAGCCGGGGGTGTCGGGCAGAGTAACCGGAACCCTGTGGTTCTCGTCCGTGCGCTGGGGAGGGTCAGGCCCTGATAGGCGGCCCGAGGGTCTCTAAGCACAGCGCAGTCCTTCTGGGGGCTCACGCAGGGGGTACAGACCCTGAGCGCCTCCCAGGGGAAGTGCAGAGCCAGAGAGTGGACAGGAGCCCGGGGGCAGGGGAAGCGGCTGACCGTGTCCGCCCCTGTTTTGAGGTAGAAAACGTAGGTGCAGGTATAGAGAGAGTTGGCTGGACTGCAGGCGTGAGTTGGCATAAATCCGCCTGAGGTCTGGCGGGATGTTTGCAGGAGGGGAATGAATCTGGGCCATCGCAGCAAGTGGGTGAGAGGCAGCGGTGACTGGGGACGAAGAGGAGGAAGAGGAGGAGGAGGTGGAGCAGGAGGTAGAGGAGACAGAGGAGGAGGAGGAAGAGGGGAGGAAGAGGAGGGGAAGATGGAGGAAGAGAAAAAGGAGAGGAGGGAGAGGAGGAGGGAGAGGAGGAGGAGGGGCAGTGAACAGTGGGCCAGTCTAGTCTTCTTCCTCATGAAGCTGTGACTTCATTACATTTTTCTCAGCCTTGCAGAACTCTTTGGGATAATTACAATGGGTTTATTCATTTTGGAGAATTTCTTTGGAAAAGAACAATGAGAGATCAGACTACAGCTTGGCACGTCTGCGGTGCTCAGTGTTGTTGGGAAGGCTGGTGACCTGCCACGAGAGTGGGCCCGCACTCCCGTTCCCGTGTAGCCCCGGCCTCCTGTTCAGCCTGAGCGCAGTCATTAGAGCCAGACGTCAGATTGTAGGGCTTCTTTTATTGCCACTCCAAGTTGTTGATCAAATATATTCCCAGTAAAGATTGAGCAATTTGATACACTGTTACACCAACTTGTTTTGAGTAGTTTGGTCTTGAGGTTGGGAGAGTGATCAGAGTCAGCCTGATTGAGTCACTGTGTTTGTAATTAGTCACAGAAACCAAATTTAATTTTTATTAATTATGACTCAACATGAGATGGGTGCTTGGCTCCTGCGCTGGAGGTGACAGCGTCACCCCTTCCCTGCAGAGTCAGCGGGGGTCTCCGCAGGTAAGGCCAGGCGTGTTTCCTTGCATTTAAATAGAGGGTTTGGCAGCGTGAGTCTCAGTTTTTAGAAATGAAACTTGGGGAAAAAAAAAGAATTCGGCTCTTTGCCTAATTAAGTGAATGAGCATTTTTGTGCATTTTAGGAAGTCTTAGTTAAATTGGAGTCTCTGAAATTATTATTTGGAAAACTGTGTGAAGGTTGACTGGAAAAGCAAGTCTCCTTCTCTAGAATTATAGCTGTCAGCCAGGAGCTCGTCTGTCAATTTCAAGAGCTTCACCAGTTATTTTTATTGTGAAGTAGGTTAGAAAATCATTTGGTAAAGTCATATATCAGACACGCGTATTTTGCTAGATGAAGATAATGAAGCCTTTCACCGAGTGTGGCCCAGACGCCCGGTCCCGGGGTCAGGCCTGAACTCTCGGCTCGAGGCTGGGGCGCGGCCCGTGCGTGCGCACAGAGCATGTCACACTGGCTCAGGGTCCCCCCCACCCCCGCAAAGGGCGTCCCTCCCCGTGCGCTTGCTGGGCCGGCTGGGGAGCATGGCACTTTGCCCCCGCTTGAGCCGGGGAAAGGGAAACGGAATCAGTTTTCACGTTTTGCGTGTGTGAGTTCCCAATTCCCTGTCAGTGTCCCACAGGCCACTGTTGCGACACGCAGGGGACAGTCTGCCGTAGCCTTGCTGCCGGAAGGCTTTCAGCCCAGACCTTCTGCAGGTGGCACCAAAGTTGCCACTGCATTGAGCCCGGCAGCCTGCCATACTCTGTCCTCCCCATCCCCGGCCCTGCCCACCATCAGGAACTGTGTGTGTCCTCAGTTGGCTGTCCGCTTGCTGTCCTCTGGGCCAGTGGCCCTGCCTGTGGCAGGGCTGGGCCTCGGGACAGTTGCTTGTTCAGGGCGATCCTTTGCTTTCCGTGAGATCCCTAGTGGTGACAGTTCAGAGTGAGGCCAGGGCAGGAAGTTCAAACGAGAACCACGTCACGCAGGAGGGGACGAGAGCAGGGAGGTCCAGGCCCTGAGGCCCGTGAGCGTGGCCAGAGCCCATCCGGGGCCACCCAGGCGGGTGCTGCATCCCAAGGGGCCCGGGGACCCCCTTGCCGCCAAGCAGGTGCTTCTTGGCATCCAGCAGGATTGTTTTCAACGATGGATTTTATTTTGCTATTAAGTTAAACTTTTGGATTCTGAAGAACAATCAGTTTCCGAGTTTCCCGAGTTTTTATGCTGCTTATAGCACTGGAGGATGGGTATTATAATTCAGTTGGTTGTATAGTTCATGGACCAGAAAAGATTTAGTATGCTAAAACTCTCGCAAGTCCTCCCTATAAAATATCTCCATATGATGTAGTAAATTTTTAGCCTTTATTTTTATACCCAATATTTTCCTGTTAAGATCTTTTCCTTGAGAATAAATGTGTGAATCAGATGAAAAATGTTTGGAGAGGATTTTATCGTGACTGTAGGAAATATTTTTATTCTTAGATTTTTTTTTCGCATGTTTAAAAATAGACCTTGCTAAACAAAATTGTAGTAAGTGCCTGGAAAATATTCTGTTGTTTTTCTACTTTTAGCATTATTAACTAATTATCTGCATGCCTCTGTTGTTTCATTGTGAGACATTTAAAATTACTGAATGACAGTAAATTCTTCAGGGATTTCTGTGTGGAGGAGAACGAGGGATTGTCTGTCCAACTCTCCTTGACTTGGAAAATCCAAAAGTACTAAGTAACTTACCCAAGGTCATTCGATTAGACAGTAGCAGGACTCTGGCGCAGGAGGTTCTGGACTCCTGACTCCGTTCAGTGTTGCAGTTCTGCCTTGTTGGCATCAGAACCCGTTATTGCCGCTGGGACGTTGCAGAGCAGATCTCGTCTGTGCTTTTATGGGATGCTTCCCCGTCCCCTGGCTATACGTTTGGCCTTTGCACAGTGGGGCTCCCGTTCAGCTTTGAAAACAATTACACCGGGTACTATGAAACTTTGACCCAGCTGTCTGGAAACCCACCAGAATTTTTGAGCCAGGGAAAAGAAGTTTGTATTAGGAATGAGAGAAGTGACCCGTGAGTAGGTAGGTGGAAGACATACCGCACAGGGGAAATCAGTTCTCCAGAAGGTGCCAGGGAGACTCGTGGGCATGATGTGTCGTTGGTTGGAAAGTGGTGAGCCTTCTCACACGCAGACGAGTCACGCTAGTTAGATAGCTCTGGAGGTGGACTTCAGATCACTTAATTCGGAGGGCAGTTTTTAAAGCTGAAAGGCCAGCTTCTGTATCACTTGCTAGTTGACTACAGGTTTCGATTTCTTACCATTTATGAGCTGGGCGATGAACTTTGGAAAGGGTAAGTCTCATTTGCGTGTCTGGGGTGGGGGCAGGGAAAGAGTTGAAGTAGAATTAGTTTAGGAATAAATTATTCCTGTTTTATTATAATTATTCTTACCTAAAAATAAAACTTTTTCAACTGGTTAATAGACAATTTCTAGGTTTCTTGAGGTTAAATCATTTTGCACTTTTGATGTACTTGGTGAAAATTTGATTAAAGAACTTTTTACTGTAACATTCTGGAGTTGGGTAGAACGCATGCTTTGCATGTATAAGGTACTGGGTTCAATCCCCGGCACCCCCACCCCGAAATAAAAAAGGTAAAAACGTTTTGGTTTGGGGCAGCTGCTGGGATAGTCTGTTTGCAAGTGGGTCATGGGGCTAAAGCCTGGTCCTAAAGAGACCCGGTGGTTCCCGTGGCCCTGTCCTAGAGTGGCCTGGTGGTTCCCGTAGCCCGATCCAGTCCTGGAGAGGCCCAGTGATTCTCGTGGCCCGGCCCTAGAGAGGCCCGGTGGTTCCCGTGGCCCGATCCAGTCTTGGAGAGGACCAGTAATTCCCATGGCCTGGTCCTAAAGAAACCCGGTAGTTCCCGTGACCTGGTCCTAGAGAGGCCCAGTGATTCCTGTGGCCCGGTCCTAGAAAGGCCCTGTGGTTCCCGTGGCCCGGTCCAGTCCTGGAGAGGCCCAGTGATTCCCGTGGCCCGGTCCTAAAGAGACCCGGTGGTTCCCATGGCCCGGTCCCAGAGAGGCCCAGTGGTTCCCGTGGCCAGAACCCACCAGAGCGTGGCTCTGTCCATGCACTCAGAGGGGCCCTGTTCCCCCATGACCAAACCCAGCTGCTGCTTCTCACCTTGCCACTGTGTTGAAAAGGAGCTTTTCTCTTCCTTCCTCTGAATTTACTGTTTTCTTCTTTATAGATGATCATGGGAACAGCAATAGTAGTCATGTAAAAATCTTTTTACCGAAAAAGCTGCTTGAATGTCTGCCGAAATGTTCAAGTTTACCCAAAGAGAGGCACCGTTGGAACACTAACGAGGTAGATACATTTCTATTTTTAGGGGTATCATTTTTTTTAAGGGCAAACTTGTTAGGCCGTGTTGCGTAGCACTACTTGATCGGTTAGCTTTCAAGTCAGATGAGCAGAAGTAGGAGCTTGTGAGTTTAAAGATCGCCTGGCCTGACAGAAACCAGCCGCGAGAGCTCTGATCTGACCGCTTGCTTGTGTCCCTCTAACCGTGCACGCTGGCTTCTCGGGTGGCATGAGTTTCTGTTTTCTTGCATTTTGGCTTCCTGGTTTGGTGGTTAACCCTGCCTTCACCTCTGTTAACCGCGCCTTCTGACGTCAGCCGGAGATGGGACGAGAGATGGGACGTTTCTGTCGAGTTGGGAAGGGGGACAAACCCTCCCTGGCAGAGAGACAGTGGTCTGGAGAAGGAACTGGCGTTGCTGAGTGATCAGAGATTCTGTGAAGAATGAAGGCTGTGTGTTAGATTGTGTATTTGGCCTCTAGTTCGCCAGGCTGATGAGAGGTAGAAGGAGGGTGTTCCTCTGCCCGGGAAATCTGCGCCTGGAATCATACTATTAGGACTGGCTTGCCTTGGTCAACGCTTCTGTTTTGAACTACGACTATTCAGTTTGGAGGGAGACCCCTCACTTGGTGATGAGGACCGGGCATGCATCGTTTATTGGGGGGTTGCATTCCTTGAGTCCCAGTGGCTGCTGCGTTGGTTTTGCAGCCTTGGGCTGGTGGTCGGTCCCAGTGTGGTCGCGCTGGTTCAGTGCTGGTTACAAGCGGTGAACAGCAGCTTCCCGTGGGGAGCGTGGTTCTGATCGGAGACACGGGCGGGGAAGGGCTGCTTCTTTAGCCTCAGCTTTCAAAGATGATGTCGCTCTGATTTCTCGTTAGGCTGCTTTTGTTGTGAAAGGTGGTTTGTGGGGAAGTCTCTTGACGTGAGTTTTACAGAGTTAAACGTTCACTGCAGTTCGTGGCCCTGTGTCCGTGTTTCAGCTGATCTTACAGCTCCTTTAAGGTTTGTACAGTTTGATTATTTGCACAAATTATATTTTCCCCTCCACCAGAATACTTTCATATTGCCAAGTATTAGCTAGTTTAGAGGCCTGTTGTTATAACAAGTCATTTGTTAACTGTTTTAAGCATTTTCAGCATGAAATGATGTAAATATATGGAAAATCATTCTTCATCAGAGATTGCTACTGTTAGTAAAATAATGTAATTTGGGAGCCGTCCTGGTGGGTCACAGGGAGAATAGGAGTCATTTAAACACTCGTACACTCCTCAGTGTTCCCTTGAATCGTGGATTTGATACCATATTATTTTACATTAGCTCCAGTTTCATAGATAAATAAACAACACGTAACAGGAATGTGTTTTTCAATACATTTTGTTTGAAATTGGAAATTTATTTTAATTATGATTTGAAGTTACACTTGAAACTGGAAATTTCTCAGTGAATTAAAGTCAGTGTTCCTGCGAGGCCTGTGACTCGGGAGGCCGGAGCGGCGTGGAGCGGGCCGGCAGCGCCCTCGTGTCTGGACGTGCAGGGGACTTCCTCGGGGCTCTTGCGCGCAGCTCTTCCGCACGGTCTGGGCTGTCCCTATGAATATTGGCGTGTCCCCTGGCCGATGCTTCTGCTCGGAGCAGTACCTTTGCGCAGGCGCTGTCCAGAGGATCCCTGCCCGCGTGCTTGGAGAGGCCCCGGCTTGGGGCCTGGTGTGTGGACCCTGCGGGGTGGGCATTTGCCCCACTGGCCAGCTGGCTCCCGAGGCCAGGGCAAAGGGAGACTGGCGGTGCAGGGCTGAGGGGCCGCCCTGCCCGGCAGACCCGGGGGCTCCTTCCAGCTGGTCTGCTCCCTCTGTGTGCAGGGTTGGTGTGGGGGGGTGGAGTGCTCTCAGTGACAGAGGCCACTGCTAATGCTTGGGGTGTCGAGGGGGAGGTGAGGAGATGGGTCCTTTTCTGGGTGTTCTTCCTGTAGAGCCAGGGGTTGGGCCCCCCACACGGCCAGGCAGGTGCCCTGGTCCTGAGCTGTGTCCCCGCCCAGGCCCACCAGTCACTGCTTGTCTGGCGGGTGTGGGTGTCCGGAGGGGACTTGGTGCCCAGACGGCAGGCCTGGGTCACCCTCCCGTGGCATCTGGTGCCTGCGGGCTGGGCAGAAGCACTGGGGCCTCCTTCCTGTGTGCTGGGCCTGCAGCACCCAGCAGGCCCAGAGGACGGTGGGGCGGGGGGCACCCAGCCGAACTTGCTGAGGGTCAGCGCCGCTGTCCAAGGTCACTGGCAGCCTGGTGGCCTGCGGTGCCCGAGGCCTGGCTGCGTCTGCTCTCCTGCTTTCCTGCGGCAAGGCCGGCCAGCGGGCTGGGCTGCTCTGGGCGTGCTTGGGGACTGTGCGTTCTGGGGCTCAACTCGGGCTCCTCCCTCTGAGCTGGACCCGTGTGTTGTCCCCGCTTTCTTTCAGAGCCTCGTAACTTGGTGGGAGGAGGACTTGGACCCGGGGGTCTTGTGGGTGAGGCAGATGCACTGCCACGAACCACGTCCCCATCCTCCCAGCTCCCCGCCGCGTTGGTGCGCGAGGCCTTCGCGTCGGGCTCAGCAGTGATGCAGTTGTTCTGTGAGTGATTGGTTATGAGGGGGAAGGCGGCTGGGGCACGGGGGTGACCGGAGGGACTGGCCAGGCCCCTTCCTCCTGGAACCTCAGTTGCAGTCGCCAAATACTTGGTCTCGGCCACCATCAGTGCTTGCTTAGACTTCCGGCCATGGCTGGGAGCTGGGAGGCGGGGATGGGACCACAGCAGCCCTTCTGCGAGCGCTCATTCTGAGTTGGGCCGAGGCCTGCCAGGGAGTTGCACGAGGGTGGCCTGTTCCGTCCAGCGCTGCAGCTGGTGAACCAGGAGTGAGTGACTGCTGACCTGGCGCCCACACTGTGTCCCCTGATGTCCCACAGAACTGCTCTCTAGGAACCCTGGGGCTTAGTGACTTTGAATCTTGTGAATCTCTGTTCCTAAGAATTTTTTTTTTTTTTTGAGGGTTTGACGTGGGTCATGGCCAGCAGTGCTCAGAGCTTACCCCGGGCTCGTGCTCTGGGGTGACTCCTGGCAGAGCTTGGGGAACCCGAGGGGGTGCCAGGGGTTGAGCTAGGGTCAGCCGTGTGCCAGGCAGGTATCTTGACCTCTGTACTGGCGCTTTGTTTGACCTACTCATTTGCATTTTTAATTTCGTTTTTGAAAAAGTAAATTTTGAATCTATCCCTTTAGTTTTAGGGCCACATCTGGTGGTGCTTTGGGGTTTCTCCCGACTCTGCACTTCCTGACTCTGAACCACCCAGTGCACTCGGTAGACCGTATGGGATGACAGGGAATCGAACCCAGGTCGGCCACATGCAAGGCAAGCGCCTTCCCTACTGAAGTATCACTCCAGCCCCCTGCAGTTTAAGTTTTAGGTAGACCCACTCGGTTTTTGCATACATAGATTTGATGATCTTTTGGGTCTGGGGGCTTCCCAGCGGTGCTCAGGAGGTGCGGGGCCAACCAGGCTACGGCTCCGAGGGTCGGTGCTGTTAGGGTGCTGTGCGTCTGGGGACCCCGGGCCACCCCCGGGCTTTCGGGGCTCTGTGGTGCCGGGATTGAGCTGAGTGCTCAGGGCAGCCGCGCACGGTGAGCCGTGCAAAGCAGCGGGCACTCGGGAGGGTGTTCTGATTCTTAATAATGAATATTAATAGGTGGGCTCTGGGTAATGAATAAAAGATATTAAAAGTAGACATTCTGTACCTGTGCATAACTTAAGGGGAGGCTTGATATTTATATTCGTGCTGGAGAGAAGGGATCTATTAACCACGGAGCCCGTTTGCTCGGGCCCGGCCGACTGGGCCGTCAGGTGTGTTCTCTTCTCGCCGGTGCGCTCTTAGGGGGTTCCGGCGTTCGAAGTTAATATTTTTAAGGCCCAGAGCCAAAAATAATTATGCTAATGCAGCCCCTGATTGCACAGTGGCTGCTTCATAATTACACGTATTAGTTCTCTGTGTATGTTGTCCAGGCTGAAATTTCTTTTGTTCGGTCCTTAATTAGCTGTTTGACTTAAAATACAGCCGCTGTTTCCCGTCAGGTGTGGGTCCCACCGGCGATCCCCAAGGCAGGCGCCTGAGTGTGCTCCCCAAACAGTCCTCGCGTGGGTCCTACTATTTTTGAACTATTAGTGCTCTTTTGTTTGTTTTTCCTTTAAGACCGAGTTTCTCCAGAGGAAGCAAACAGAACAGAATTCTGGTTTATATTGATCTTAAAATTGCATTGGAGTTCAGTTGACAGTTTCAGATTTTCCTGTCAAATGTATTTGGTGTGTGTGTGTGTGTGTGTGTGTGTGTGTGTGTGTGTGTGGTAACGTGTGTATGTAGAAAGCAGTGCAGATAGAAGAGGATGCATTCCTTTACCCCTGAGGCCCCCCTGCTACAACGCTTTTTATAGGGAGAGAATCACCCTTGCACATCCTGAGGGCTCTTTCTCTGGTTTGTTTTAGGGCTACACCTGGTGATGCCAGGGATAGGTGATGGTGGGGACGGTGTCGCCCCCGGGCAGTGCCTAGGGATTACTCCCGCAGGGCAGATGCCCCAGGCCTGGGTGCAGCTCGGGGAAACTTGCCTTTGATTCCTGACCCCCCCAAACTCCCAAACCTAAACATTTTGAAATAATTGGGTTTTTGTTTTTGTTTTTGGGCTTTTTGGGTCCCACCCAGCGATGCTCGGGTTTCTCCTGGCTCGGCCCTCAGGAATCATTTCTGGCGGTGCTTGGGCAACCATATGGGATGCCCGGGATCGAACCTGGGTGGCTGCGTGCAGGGAGACACCCTCCCCGCTGCACTCTCTCCCGCCCATGATCTCCTTTGTCACGAAAGTCCCGTTGCTCTGTGACGCCTGTGGTGATGCCTGGCAGGGCGCTGCCACCCTCTCTGGTGTTCCCATGGTCTTTCTCCTCTCAGGGTGACGTCAAAGGTCACAGAGGGTACTTGTCGTGGGTGTAGGGGGAAGCGGTATT